TCAGCTAATGTGATGATGAAAATATTTTCTGCCCAGTAGAAAGAAGAGTCTTGAACATTTAGATAGATGATGATGATGATGATGATGATGATAGATAGATAGATAGATAGATAGATAGATAGATAGATAGATAGATAGATAGATAGATAGATACCCTGTAGTGTTAGAGTCCAGGCAGCCCTTTGAGGGGCTGCAGGCAATAGAAAGACAACAGAGATTACTACAAATCCAAGACAACAGAGAAAAGATAACAGAGATGACTACAAATCCAATAAAACAAAGGTGACAGTTCATTTTAAAGTGTACTCCATGGTGATGATGGCAGCAAAGAAACAACACTTTTCCTCCGCCATCTGCACAGTGAAAGTCAGTGAAGCTAAATAGGCTAGAGGATAGTCAGAGGCCTTTGGGGATCTGACCTGTAGAAGAGGTCCACTGCATTGGAGGCCCACTGATATTGTTTTGCTCAGCACTTTCCAGATAAAATCTCTTGCATCCGTTCTTACTTGGATTCTACATTAGCAGTAACAGGGTCAGATGGTGCCATGGTCCCAACTTGTCCAGTTGTTTGGGATTCTTTTCAGTTTTTTTCAGTCTGAGGATATGGACAAGATTCTTGGAAGGTTGAAGACTAGCACCTGCTTGTATGACCTTTGCCCTTTCTATCTGCTTAAATCTGTCTATGTGTGTGTGGGGGGGGTGCTGGCTGACTGGGTCCAAGAAACAGGCTGTGGTGCATACACTTCTAAAGAAGCCTACACTGGACCCAGGAGCTCTCAGTAACTGTCAACCAGTCTAAGTGTTCCATCCTTGAGCAAGGTGACTGGAGAGCTGGACAGCTTCAAGCTTTCATGGATAAAGCAGATTGTTTGGATCCTTTCCAATCTGATTTCAAGCTTGGTTATAGGACTGGAACAGCATTGGTGGATGACCTGTGTCAGAAGATGGACAGAGGGAGTGTGACTGTCCTGAAAGTGTTCTGAAACTTGGTCATAGCAACTCTATCACTCCAGTCTTGTTCTATCTGTACTGGAACATCTATACTGGCTCCTAGTTTTTGTCTGGGCAAAATACAAGGTTGTGTTGGCCCTTAAAGTCTTATATGATTTGGGACCAACATACCTGAAGGACTGCCTACTCCTTTATGAACCTGCCCAACCACTTCGGCCATCTTCAGAGGCCCTGCTACGGGTGCTCCCACCTTCTGAGGTTAGGCATGGGGCAACTGAGGAGCGAGCCTTCTCAGTCATGGCACCAAAGCTCTGAAACTCTCTTCCCAGTGACAATTGTCTGTCTCTTTCCATTGCCATTTTGTGCCAGTGGGTGAAAGACGTTTTTGTTTGGTTTGGTGTTCCCTCAGTAATCCCTCTTTCCTGCCCAATGTTTTGATTGCTGCTTCTTCGTTTTTTGTATGTGTATTTTAGCTCTTATTTTAATTGTTTTAATGATATATTTTCTGTTGGTTTCAATAGATTTTAAGATGTGATTTTATTATGTTTTTAATTTGTTAGCCACCTTGGTGGTCCTTATAAGGGCAGAAAGGTGGAGCATACATTTGTAAAATAAATAAAATAAATATCTGAGTCTCCGAATTGGAGGATGAAAGCTTCAGATGGCTTTATACACTAACTTCTTTTTCATCTGGACTCAGGTTGTCTATAGCATTGATGGCTGTGTCCGAAATTTTCACATGACAGAGTCCCCTGTTAACCTGAATAACCCTACCTCTAGTTATAATGTTGGGAAATGCTTCGCCAACGCACAGGAAGGAACATATTTTGATGGAACAGGGTTTGCCAAAACAGGTAATAGTCCACTATTTATTATTCTTTAGAAGTTGTTTGGGCACTCTAAATAGACTCTAAATGTTGCTATGGGAGGCATGAACACAGTAGAGTCTGGAAAGGGAAAATGTGGAACTGAAGAAATATAAATATTGGTAACTACCTTCTGTGCAAGCCTCACTGAAAATGATCTTAGTTGTTTTATCATTGTGATTACAGTGATTGCTGTTACCATCATCATTATTGTTATATTGCTGTCTTTACTGTTATTATTCACAGTAATGGAACTTGCACAGGAATATGATCATTGTGATGAAAATCAAAGGATTTGTCACAGTTCCAAGGGAAGAACAACAGGAGAAAATTAGAGATGGAGGGCCCTACTTCTCCAGTCTCCCTGGAACCATTTGCCTACAGCCCATGCACTCTCAGTGGGTGGCTGACACTCAGCTGTCTAATGTAAAATCTTAGGCAGGCTCTGACAGGCTAAATTCTGACTCTTTTTTACCTTATACACACACATCCAGATTCCAGGCAAACATACAGCCTAGCTCACAAGAGTTGGCCTGTACATAACACAGTCCTTTTATACTTAAGTGATCTGGGGATGATAGTCTCTCTTCATCCAACAAGTTATAACTTTATTTTGGAAAACAGAGGAAGGAGGCAAGATTCATATAACTACTTGCATGGGGAAAGCTGAGTGGGAAAGGATTTCAGACACGGTGGAGAAAGCAAAACAGAGTTAAAATAATACAGAAAGCTAATGCAACCTGACTGTACTAGATCCCTAGCTTAATGGCTTACAGTTTTTCAGGGTCCTCCTGAATCATGTTGGGCTAACATGGGCCTATCCTGTCAGGCCTGTCCTCTAACCTGCTTGCTCCTAGGAAAGGCAAGGGTAATTCTCCATAAGAGTTTTATCAATCTGGTTATAATCACACCCTCTTGCATGGATAGGTATTTCTCCAACTCTGGCTACTGCTAAGCCTAACGTTTGTTTTTGGAAGAGCATCCCTACCCCTTCCTTTTGTGATTTGCTTCCCAAAAAGACTGTCTGATTCTGAAGCTGAAGTAAAACAGGGAATCATGGGGATCAAGATGGATCTCATGACAGGATTGATGTATTTGTGATTGCATTTCCTCCTCATTTCTCAGTTGGAGCATACAAAGTGGGGACAGATCTGCGAGTGGAATTTGAGTTCCGTACAGCTCGAACAAATGGTGTTCTGTTGGGAATCAGCAGCCAAAAAATGGATGGACTTGGTATTGAGCTGATAGATGAAAAAGTGAGTATGGCACTATTAGCATTACATCAAATTTCACTGGGCTTCTCAACCACACTAAGTAATGCTTTCTTAATGTTGTGTCTCTTAATTCTCCTCTCTTCTAATGTGAGAGTCTTGCAAGTATAGAGGTCAGTGTGTTAGAACAGGATCTAGGAGATCCGGGTTCAAATCCCTTCTCTGTCATGCAGCTCACTAGATGGTCTTGGCCAGTTATTCTCTCTCTACCTCACAGGGTTGTTATGAG